GCAACTTTGGGCAGGGGGTTGCCAAAACAAAGCTCAAGCAGTTGATCATGGACACCTCTTAGAATTTGGGGGAACCCTGACCAAGGATCCGAATTCTATTTAATAACCAATACAAAGGTGAAGTGGCTCCTCCTAAGTAGCAGTGCTGCCAGGGCTTGGCCCAGACCTCTGCTCACCTGTTATGCTCCCAAGCAAATCCTGATGCTCCTGCTCCAGGGGAGACTTTATTTTTAGAGGTTCAGTGTCCAGGGAGCTCTTTGTGTGAATGAAGTGAGCACAGACTCCACATGGGTATTTTAAGGCTTGGAGTCAAAGTATTTTTGTGACACGGCTAGACAGAGTCCATGTTTCAAATGGCCTGTCTCCAGTTCATCCTAATTCCTCACCACAGTATTTGTAGACCTAGGACCAGAGACCTTTGCTATGTCATCATAATCACATAATATCCATCCTAACTTATGATTCATATTCTGTGCCTGGAAGCAGTCCCTGTATTTAACAATAATATCTACACATAAAATGATCCACTGTTACAAATTATATGGTCACAAAACATTAATGATCTTCGGTAGACCAACCAAATGTTTTTAACCATAACTGTGGTGCATCAAATTCACAGCCAGAATACCCCAAGATCAAAAAAATTTCCACAATACAAATAATAACTTAAAACACACACACACATATACACACACACTCACACACACTTCTTACAGAATTGTGCTTGGGGAAACTCCATTTGTTGAGTGCACCTGAGGGCATATTTGCTAAACTGCTGCTCCAGATATTTTTGTTTGGAAAATCTCACAGTAGGGCACAGCTGTTTATTGGATGAGCAGAAAAGAAAGATACGCTTGTGGCAACCAGAAAGTTTAAAGGTCTTTCAAGTTGTATAAAATGGACCTGCAGAAACATTTAAGTGTTCTCAGGATGCAAAGTTGGAGCTGAAATGTGGTATCAAACCAGTTGCAAAAAGTGTACAGCAGCCATCTCTTGAGGTCAAACCTGGTACCCAGATATGCAAAAGAAAGCTTCAGGACACATCTATAAATCAGGAATAAAAACAAAAGAGTGTAAGAATACTAAAAATATACTGTGCTTTGAAAATATTAATTAATAGTAAGTATGATGATAAAGAGCATGTATGATATGAACTGCCACTTAAAAGGTCCTAAATTCTCAAGAATTTAAGAAACTTGGGTTCATTATACACGTATTTATAATTTATGCTTTGAGTAACTGGTAGATGTAAGATGTTTAGAATTAATTCTGACCATTATACTTGATAAGCTAGCTTACAGAATCAACTTTCATAAACTAACTTTCTGGAGGAAAAGACAGGGTAGTAAATTGGCACTGGAGTCAGACTACCTAGGGTTTCAATCCCACCTATGCTGAACAACTAGCTGTATGAGCTAGGACAAATTACTTAACCTCTTTTAAGTGCTATCCTTACTGTAAAATGGGGTTAATATTTCCTCTACTTGCCCCACAAGCCATAGGGTTACTGTGGCTTAAACAAACTTCATGAGGACTTTCAAGGGCTTAATTGGCACAGTTCTGGGCATGCATGTATATTTTAAGTGTTAGCTATTACTTTACTTCATAGGGGGCTTTTTGCTCTCAGGAGACAAGGTATTTAGTATCAAAATCTTGCTCTTCAATGTGGAAAATTAAAAGAAAAACTTGGCAATACTTACAGCTTGTTGGCCTTGTCCCGTATCGTCGCATAATCTGATCATGTGTGAATTTCACAAAAGATTCATATTGTTCTGTAAGGGGAAAGATAATATATACTATCCTCAGAAACTATCCTCTAGCTTTTTAAGAGTCAAGTGCAGGATCACATCTAGGCTTCCAGTTTAAATTATCCACTCTTAGGCCCTCCTTATAATGATCAATCTGAGATCTGAGACCTATTTACTTCCTCTTGGATCCCAGAGTCAAATCCCTGGCTTCTAGATTTGGTCACTGACTGTAACATTTTCCTAATAATCTCACCCTTGCTGTAACTGTATCTCTACTAATGGCTTCCTAAGACAGATATGCTCACTACAAGCCTGCAAATTTTAGGGTATCTCCTATAGGATATGAAGCTTGAAGCTCTTTTCTGCATTCATTCTTGCTATATATAACTTTCAACAACAACAACAAGAGGTGAGATAACTAGAAAGCTAGAAGAAATTCCATACTACCTCTAGACAGTTCTACAGAAGTATCTTCTAAAGGGAGAAAGATAAAAGGCAGCCTAACATCTGTGAACAGTGACTTAGAGCCAGCTGGTCTAAGTAATTTTGGGGTGGGGGTAGGAGAGGGGAATGATACACTAGAGCTTCTTACCATACACATTATTAATATATTAAAGGATCAAAGAAGTTCTATCATAAAGAAACTCATTTGATTTTTGTTGTTAAGCCATCAGTTCAAGCAGACCTATTATATTAACATTCTGAGGAACCACGTGGCATCAGCAAAATAGGAAAACAGTACTGTTACAGAAGAAGTTGTTGCCTAACACCTCTCTGATCACAACTTGTCCTTTTTCACTGAACAGGTACTATTTTCTATCCCTGATTTAGATCCCTTCCTTTCACAAAAGGCTCTACTTGTTGCTATCACTAATCACTTCCTTTGCTTCAATAGCCTGAGCTAACCTTTCCAAACTTTTAATGTTCCTACAATCACAGGATGTCTGACTTCCCACATTCACAAAGTGACTCCCACTAGTAAGTCTAAATATGATGACTATCCTCCTCCCAACCACCTGTTGGGACATTAGCAATATTCTAACCACCTGTTTACATGCCAGCTAGCCCAAATAACCTACTCAATGCCTTTATTCGTATGGAAAATTCTCAAAAGAAAAGTTTGGAATTTTGGTTTAATTTTGTTTCAGAAATGTGAAAAGGTTTTTTCATACAATGTATAAATGAAATGTTTAGAATCACCAGGGAGTACGTTAGTATAGCTCATTGAACCTTCCTGCACAAAGTCCTACTCTTTTTCTGAGTTACCATTTACTTAATGGGTTAATCCTTAGTGAACCCCATTAACAATGGCACAGCCACTACTCAACCAACCTACCTGCTAGTTTGCTATTGAGGATCAGCTCATACTCCTCCCGAATTTTGTCTTCATAGTCTTTTAAGAGACGCTCACATATTATTCCAACTTGTCGGAGGGTAAAGGTGGGCTGGTCCTTCTTCATCCAGGAGGAACCTGGCCAAAAGACGAATCTAGTTTATATAACATGCTCTAGTTCTAAGGTTCAGAATTAATAACTTCATGTGAACAGTCCTAGGATACAGAAATTATTTAGAAAATAAGACTTTTTCACTACTTTACATGAACTATTTTTCAAAATCCTCTGAGTTTCTGCAATTTGTTTTGCAAAGTAAAGCTGAAGGTAAATCGAGAAGGAGGAGGAACAATGCATATCCAGGTGTGCTAGCTTATCTGCATAGAGCCGTAACAATCTGAGCTCATACTCAATAATCATTTGGTAAAGGACAAGAACAGCAAGTTTAAAGACATAAAGCCTCTAGTCTAGATTAGGGTAAGTAGATTCAAGCATGAGAGCTACCCAGATTTCTGGAGATCATCTATACCTATATTTAACCAAGGTGAAATTATCTGTAGAATTAACAAAAACAACAAAGAAGGATACACAGTCTGATTTAATTCTGGGGTAGGGCTTTGGAATCACAGGTCATTCTGTTATGGAATGGTTAGAAGTCTAATGCTTAGAAGACCAGAGGACTAGTCCAATATAAAAATGACTGTTAGCCAAGTCACTGAAATATGAATGGATACAAGCAGACACAACACAACTTATCCTTAATCCCTCCTGAATCTAGGCTGTAAGATTGAAATGTCCCTAAGAGTACAGTTGGCCATGAACAACAAGGATTTGAACTGCATGGGGCCACTTATATGCAGATTTCTAAATTTATTGTAAATTTTCTTTGGAGATTTGCAACAATACAAAAAAGCGTCTTTTCTCTAACTTACTTTAGCATAAAGTGCATACACCATACAAAATATGTATTAATTACTTGTCATTGGTAAGGCTTCAGGTCAACAGCAGGCTATTAACAATTAAGTTTTTGGGGAGTCAAAACTTAACTTTGGGGAGTTTGACTGTGCAGAGGGTTGGTACCTCTAACCCGTGCATTGTTCAAGGGTCAACTGTTGTTAGAAACCAAAATATCTAGCAGAATGCCAGAAAACATGGAAATCCAATTCCTGATCATGATAAAAGCAGCAGCTCTATTGGTAGCCCAGTTCTGAGTTGTTCCTCAGAGCTAAACCTGGAACCTGTTTCTTTGGTCCTCTTAGTCTGTAAACCACTTAACACCCTTAAACAAACCATTTTTGTTTAAACCAAAATTTTTTCTCTACAAATGAAACCTAACCAAAACATCTAGCTAGTCATTATTTGTAATTGTTTCTCCACCCATAACATATTCTATTACCTCAAAATTGTATTACTAAAATCTCAAGAGAAAATTAAGGAGAGACTTGATAGCTATCACCATTGAAAGGTCTATCATTCATGTATGTGCAAAAGAGCAATTAGAGTTAAAAAACTCAGGTGAAATTAATGTAAAATGAACCATTTTAGAGTGAACAATTCAGTGGCATTTGGTATTGTCACACTGTACAACCACCACCTCTAATCTAGTTTCAAAACATTTCTAACACTCCAAAGTAACACGCCCTTACCCACTTAGCAGTTTCTTCCCATTCCCTCCTCCCCCTAGCTCCTGGCCAACACCAAACTATGTTCTGTTACAAGACAATTTTTAATCAAGATAATTTTTAACTATTAGAACTGTTAAAAAGTATAACGCTTTGTGAGGAAATTGTCCTCTACTGTTAAAGGAGACAGAGTTCACCATCAATGGAGATGTTTAAGCACTGGTCTGTTGACTATTTATAGTGATACTGTAACAGGCAAGACTGGTGGCTGAACTATGTGATCATGAAGATCCCCTCCAACTCTTGAGGTTCTATTTTTGAGCACATCCTCTCTGACCACCTGTCAATGTCACAGAGCAGGGGTGTCACTAACTTTCTGAAATGATGGAAATATCCTATAGTTGTGCTAATACAATAGCTACATGTGGCTACTGCATCTGAGCAACTAAATGTTAAAATTATATTTTAATTTACAATTAAACAGACATGTGACTAAAGGCTAAAGACATTGCAATTATAGAGTACTCTTGTATTGGGTGAATAGAAGCCAAATAAAATCAAAGGTCTTTTCTGGGATGGTAGTACAGCATGGAGAACATAGCAATGATTCTGTAACATCTTCCTATGTTGACAGATAGTAACTGCACCAGTAACGGTAAGCATTTAATAATATGGTAACTGTTGAACAACTGTATTGTATACCTGAAACCAATATAAGACTATATATCAAATATACTTCAATAAAAAAAATCATCAAGTCTTTTTCAGCTTCATGACTCTATGGTTTTAAATATGTAAATAGCAATATAATGTATACACTTTACTAATTTACTGGTTTAGATAAATTCTGGATTAGGAAACCACCATTTTAAGTACCATGTACCAACTCTTAAATGGACTATGCACACTAACTGTATGCTTACCTGGAGAACTTGGTGCTGTGAGTGCTGAGGAGTGAGGCTGACTTTCTGAAGTACAAGCTTCACTTTGATTAAGAACAACTTCTAAATGTCTCCACCTCTGATAACGACTATATTCTTGCTTTATGTTCTGAAAAATTTGCTCTAATAAAAAAGAAACATACTTGAGCATTCTGTTTTCTCATTTCTTCAAACTTCTTGTCCCTCCCATTATTCCCCCAAAGTGTGTCTCTCTTCTTGCTATTTCAATAGCACAGAGAATAGCAGCTATTTTGGCGTAAGCCACCCAGATGGTTCTCTTTGCTTGCTTTCTGTGACAATGAAGGCCAGGTCCACTGTCTGTTGTAGGATTAACTAGTACAACTTAAAAAAAATATGTCCTTCATCTAATAAGGAGCTATTTTTAACCTACTTTAAGTTGCAAGATTTCACAAACTATGGTATTAGGGGTGATTCTCCTACCACCCAAGGCCTAACAATGAAGCTCTTGTCTCATTTAGGACTCAAAATCTTTGGGGAAGAGGACAGCAGAAATCATTATGTTCACAGCCTGGACTTGATGGGGTGGGGGGCAAGACCTGAGAATTTTTGCTTGGAAATGATGATCAGGGCTTAGAAAAGTATTTTCTGATCCTGCAAGAGGCAGTATTCAGTAGGATTCAGATTACTATTCTGAGTCAAGGTAATCATAAACCAAATTTGCTAATGCTACTAAAGGGAGTCCCGGACACACAAATCCACCTTGAAATATACTTCCAGAAACAACACAGAAGAATCTGGAAGGATGTGGTTTTCAAATTTTTTGTTTCTGTGGTAGAATATGTGTTCATTTTCCAGATAATAAAGCCACCTAATCAAAAACAAAAACTAGAAAAATTATTACCCCCATTTCAATGTATACTTTGCTATAACCAAATTTTTTTAATAGGGACAATTATTAGTAATGCCATTTTGCTTCTTACTTGCTGTGTGACTATGACCTTGGGAAGTCATTCAGGATCTTTAGCCTAGTTCAATATAAATGTTAAATGCCTACCTTGTAAGCTGTGAAATTAAAATGTTAGTAATACCCACAAACTGATACAAACTCAAAGTAGCTCCAAACATAGCTGAACTCCATCTCACTCACTCTCAACACTGGATCAATGTAAGATTAGGAAAGCTTTCCTTTCAGAATGCTATGAAGTTCGTATTTTAAGATCCCTGAATTTATGAAGTCTTCACTTCATCTTTAAAATGTCTTATTCTCCAAGCACATACTTGCCAGACTCAATACAAGGATGTAAGGAACTGCAAAGACATGAAACAAGAAAGGACAAGTATGAGGACAATGCTCATGAGAACAGAAGGTCTTTGTAAACCTCTAACTGTGTTCTGCATGGCAAAGTGAACAAAATGGAGATACAACACTTTGAGGACTAGTAAGTCCAAGAATCTAAACACGGTACGCACAGGAGGAATAAAAAAGCATAAGTGATTTTCTTCCCAATAAGGCCACATAAAAGGGGAAAGGGCATTTTTTTTTTGGTATCATTAACCTACAATTACATGAAGAACATTATGTTTACTAGGCTTCCCCCTTCACCAAGTCCCCCCC